TTAGTAACTTTTATTCCACTTTTCATCAAAGTAAATAATAAATATGAAAAAATTTCTCCAATAATTAATTACCATAAAGGTAATTTATAAGTTGACCGAATAATATAATATTAATCTGATACTTATTTACTTAACCACTAATTAATGAAATATATCACGTGTCCAAAACATGTGGGCCACACAATTAATAAATAATCTTACATAAGTATCTCACTCACATTTTACAAATTGTGTACAACAGGGAACTAATGGTCTATCAATTTGGAGGTATTTAAAATTTTACGATAATGATAACTAATTATTATTTTTTATTTTTTAATACAAATTTCTATAATGAAAATAAAATAATTTCTTTAAAATTTACCACAAATTAGCAATTTTATTTTCTATAAAACTCTATCACATTATCTATTTATTATGAGTTTTTTAATAAAAGAAAATCTAATTAAACAAGGATATATTTAAAGAAAATAAAATAATTTCTATAAAATTCTATCACAAATTACCTATTTTATTTTCAATAAAACTCTATCACATAAAACACATTAAACAATGATATATTTAAAGAGTTTATTTAAAATTCTAACACAAATTACCTATTTATATATTTATTATTAGTTTTTTAATGAAAGAAAAATTATTTAAACAAATATTATATATATATATAAATATTTATTAATTGATATAAAAAGAGATTTTAAAAGAGTTTCTATAAAACTCTAACACAAATTACCTATTTATAAATTTATGAGTTTTTAATAAAAAGAAATCTAATTAGACACGAATTATATATATAAAAAAGTAGTTATCAATTGATATAAACTGAGTTTTTAAAAGAGTTTCTATAAAACTCTAACACATATCTAAAATAAAAGGAAATCTAATTAGAAAAGAATATATTTAAAGAAAATAAAATAATTACTATAAAATTTACCACAAATTAGCAATTTTATTTTCTATAAAACTCTATCATATTATCTATTAATTATTAGTTTATTCAGGAAAAAAAATTATTTTGAGTTTTATAATGAAATAAAATCTAATTAGACATAAGTATATTTTAAAAAAATAAAATAATTTCTATAAAACTTTACCACAAATTAACTATTTTATAATCTATAAAACTCGATCAAATTTGACCTGTATTTACTTATTTATTATGAATATATTTAAAGAAAATAAGATAATTTATATAAAACTCTACCACAAATTACCTATTTTATTTTTTTTAAAACTTTATCACATATAACCTGTATTTATCTATTTATTATGATTTTTTCAATAAAAGAAAATCTAATTAGACAAGGATATATTTAAAGAAAATAAAATAAATTTTTAAAAGAGTTTCTGTAAATTTCTAAAAAAAATTACCTATTTATCTATTTATTAGGAGTGTTTTAATAAAAGAAAATCTAATTAGACAAGAATTATTAACATAAAAAATATTTTTTAATTGATATTAAAAATAAATTAATTTCTCTAACACCCTATCACAAATTATTACCTAATAAAATTCAAATATGTGTTTCAAAATTTAGTTAATAATATAAAAAATATTTATTAATTGAAAAAAAAAATATTACCTAATAAAATTCATATTACCTAAAATAATATTTCAAATTACCTAATAAAATTCAAGTTACAAATTACCTAATACTTTTATAAAAGAGTTTTCATAAAATTCAAATTCCAAATTACCTAAAAAAAATTCAAATAACCTAAAAATTTATTTCAAATTACATAATAAAATTCAAATAAAAAATTACCTAATAAAATTCAAATTATCTAAAATTTTATTTCAAAATATTAATTAATTGATATAAAAGGAGTTTTTAAAAGAGTGTCAAAAAAACTCTAACACAAATTATCTATTTATTATGAGTTTTTTAATAAAATGAAATCTAATTAGAAAAAATTACTAATATAAAAAATAATTATTAATTCATTTAAAAAATAATATAATTTCTCTAATACTCTACCACAAATTACTTTTCATATGAGTTTTTTAATAAAATGAAATCTAAATAGACTAGGATATATTTCAACAAATAAAATAATTTGTATAAAATTCTACCACAAATTAGCTATTTTATTTTCAATAAACTCTATCACATTATACTTTATTATGAGTTTTTTTAATAAAAGAAAATCTAATTAGAAAATAATTATTAATATAAAAAAATATTTATTAATTGATATAAAAATAGTTTTTAAAAGAGTTTCTATAAAACTCTAACACATTTTACCAATTTATCTATTTATTATGTGTTTTTTTAATAAAAGAAAATCTAATTAGACAAAAATATATTTAATTACAATTAAAAAATTTATATAAAATTTTGGACAAATTATTTTCTATAAAACTTTATGATATTATCTATTTATTATGAGTTTTTTAATAAAATAAAATCTAATTAAACAAGAACATATTTTAAAAAATAAAATAATTTCTATAAAATTCTACTATAAATTAGCTATTTTATTTTTTATAAAACTTTATCGCATATAACATGTATTTACATATTTATTATGGATATATTTAAAGAAAATAAAATAATTTTTACAAAAGTCCACATCAAATTACCTATTTTAGTTTCTTTAAAACTCTGTCACATGTAACCCGTGTTTATCTATTTTTTAAGAGTTTTTTTAATAAAAGAAAATCTAATTAAACAGGATATATTTAAAGAAAATAAAATAATTTTTAACAGAGATTCTGTAAAACTCTAACACAAATTCCCTATTTATTCATTTATTATGAATTTTTTAATAAAAGAAAATCTAATTAGACAAGCATCGTAAATATAAAAAATATTTATGAATTGGTATAAAAAATTAAACAATTTCTCTAAAACTCTACCACAAATTACCTTTTATTATGTGTTTTTAATAATAAAAAAATCTAATTAGAGAATGATATATTTAAAGAAAATAAATATTTTTTATAAAACTTTACCACAAATTACATGTTTTATTTTCAATAAAACTCTAATATATTAGACAATGATATATTTAAAGAGTTTCAAAAAAATCTAACGCAAATTACCTATTTATTTTGAGTTTTTTAATGAAAGGAAATATAATTAGACGATAATTATTAATATAAAAAATATTTATTAATTGATATAAAAAGAGATTTTAAAAGAGTTTCTGTAAAACTCTAACATAAATTACCTATTTATCAATTTATTATGAGTTTTTTAATAAATGAAAATATAATTAGACAATAATTATTAATATAAAAAATATTTATTAATTGATATAAAAAATAAAATAATTTTTCTAAAACTTTATTACATATAACCTATTTATTATGAATATATTTAAAGAAAATAAAATAATTTATATAAAACTCTAACACAAATTATCTATTTTATTTTCTTTAAAACTTTATCACATATAACATGTATTTATTTAGTTATTATGAGTTTTTTTAATAAAAGAAAATATAATTAGACAAGGATATATTTAAAAAAAATAAAATAATTTTTTAAATGAGTTTCTATAAAACTATAACACAAATTATCAATTTATCTATTTATTATAAGTTTTTTTAATAAAAGAAAATCTAATTAGACAATAATTATTTATATAAAAAATATTTATTAATTGATAAAAAAATAAAATAATTTCTCTAAAATTGTACCTCAAATTACCTATTATTATGAGTTTTTTAATAAAAAAAATCTAATTAGACAATGATATATTTAAAGAAAATAAAATAATTTCTACAAAACTCTAACACAAATTAGTTATTTTATTTTGAATAAACTCTATCATATTAGACAAGGATATGTTTAAAGAGTTTATATAAAACTCTAACACAAATTACCTGTTTATCTATTTATTATGAGTTTTTTAAGAAAAAAATCTAATTAGACAAAAATTATTAATATAAAAAAAGATTTATTAATTGGTATAAAAATAGTTTTTAAAAGATTTTCTGTAAAACTCTAACACAAATTACATATTTATCTTTTTATTATGAGTTTTTAATAAAAGAAAATCTAATTAGATAAGTATTATTAATATAGAAAATATTTATTAATTGATATAAAAATAATTTTAAAAAGATTTTTTATAAAACTCGAACACAAATTACCTATTTATCTTTATATTATGAGTTTTTAATAAAAGGAAATCTAATTAGATAAGTATTATTAATATAAGAAATATTTATTAATTGATATAAAAAATTAACTAATTTTTCTAAAACTCTACCACAAATTACCTTTTATTATGACTTTTTTTAATAAAAAGAAATCTAATTAGACAAGAATTATTAATATTATTAATATGACTTTTTAAAATCTAATTAGACAAGAATTATTAATATGACTTTTTTAGCTATTTTATTTTCTTTTAGTATTTTAGTATTTATTTATTAATATAAAAAATATTTATTAATTGATATAAAATGAATTAAAATAAAGGAGTTTCTATAAATAAAATGAATTAAAATAAAAAAGTTTCAAATTATTATTAAAACAACTAAAAAATAAGTAAAATATGTAATTGTTTAGTAAAATAATTTATCAAATAATAAAATAAGTTACAAAACATTTATCATGTGCATCGCACGTGCCTTTTCCTAATATATATAAATATATAAGGACCTCCTAGTATTGGTGTCGCAATTTTTATTTATTTATCGAAACAAGTTTTGTTTTGTTTTTTTTTTTTTTAGTGGTGCATTCGGTGAACAAGTGTTTTTTTTAAAGTGCATTCAGTGAACAAGTTGCTTGAAGGAATTGAGTTAGCTGCATGTGGAAATGGAAAAATGAGATAATCCTGATTATTATTTGAGGAGTATTGTGTTTGGGAATGCTCCTTGTAGCTAGTTGTATTTTATCTTCAAATAATATCTCACTTATCGAAAAAATAATAATAATAATAAAAAAAAAGTAAAAATGGAGAGAATCAAGAGCGAAGGTGGTCCAAACCCATCAAAACTTTCTCAAGTCCCATTTTCAAGAAGAACTTGTTAGCTAGCCCAATCACATATGCAGCCAAGTGAGCATAGCCAATCACATTTCATCATTCTAGTAAAAATTTGCAACCAAGTTTCACAGCGATTTCTTTTCTCCTGAGCTAGCATCTTCTTTTTGGTGGAAAATCTGCCAGAGACTTTTACAAGTCTTCTTAATCTTCTATTTTTTGGGGTCGACTTTAATAACCCACTCGTTTGGCTGCTCTTTCTCTCCCACCCTTAGCTTTGAAAAACACAATCTCTTTGATCTTGTACAGATCAACCAAAAAAACATCATGTACCTTTCTCATCTTAAAATCATCGGCATCATCCTCCTCTATCTCGTCCACCATCTTTTATTTATCAGAGCAGGTGAATTGCCGGTTCATTATTACCCGGTAGATGACATCACCGTTAATTGTGGCTCCCTGGTATGTCACCTGCTTTAGATGGCCGGGAATGGATCGGAGATATGGGGGTTTCAAAATTCACTTCTCTAAAGGAAGCAATAAGCTCATCAACAACTGTTCACCAATCACTTTTTGCCGATCACGTTCCCTACATGACCGCTCGGACCTCTCGTGCTCAATTCACCTATACATTTCAACTCACACCTGGTCAAAAATTCATTCGCCTACACTTCTTTCCAGCTTCATACCCTGGTTTTCAAAGATCCAAGGCATTTTTCACTGTTAAAGCAGTGCTTTCCAATTTCAGTGCTTTCCAAGCTCCGACATAATCATTTAGTTTCTCTTATCGGCTACTGCGACAAATCTCGGGAGATGATTCTGGTGTACGAGTACATGGCCCATGGACCCTCGATGATCATCTCCACAAAACTAGTAGAAATGGTAATGGTAACTCTCCTCTTTCGTGGATGCAACGACTCAAGATCTGTATTGATACTGCGCGTGGGTTGGACTTCTTACATACGGGTAGCGGTGCACAACATGAAATCATTCGCCGCGACGTGAAGAGCTCTAACATTTTGTTGGATGAAAATTGGTTAGCCAAGATTTCAGATTTTGGTTTGTCCAGATTCACAAGCCCGTCGTGCAGCCACATTAGTACAATGTTAAAGGCACGTTCGGGTATTTGGATCCAGAGTATTTCAAGACTCAAAGACTGACTAAGAAATCAGATGTGTACGCATTTGGTGTGGTATTGTTCGAAGTGTTGTGTGGGAGGCGGGCTGTGGATTTAACAGTTGAGGAAGAGCAGCATAGTCTAGTCCCGTGGGCTAAAAAGTGCATCAGAAGAGGAACACTTGATCAGCTAGTTGATCAGCTAGTTTAAGAGGATTTGCGGAAATTGCCAACAAATGCTTGCATGATCGTCCGAATGAACGTCCTACAATGGCTGAAATAGTGGCAAGACTAGAATCAATTGCATTAGAATCGCAGCAGGGGAAGACCGAGTCTTATGCAGAGCAAGAGGTTATCGATTTTGGTGGGACAAGCAATGAGAACAACATTGATTTGATGAGTATTACGTCAGGGGATTCTACCTCAACGTCCGGGCAATTCAGTATTCTTCCTATCAAGGAAATAAATGAACGGTCGGTGGTGGTGGTGGAGGGTATTTTACCAGCTGGAACACATGGGAAAAAGAGAGTGGATTATGGTTCTAATCAGGGAGGACCATTGTTATCGGGGTGGCGGTTATGGGACTCGCTTTGGCAAAGAAAGAGACCATCGTCATCAACAACAACGAAAGCTTATTCACTGGCAGAGATTCAGGCAGCCACGGATAATTTCAATGATGGCCTCGTAATTGGGAAGGATGGTTATAGGACAATTTATGCGGGTTTCATCAATGAAACAAGGAAGGTTGCTATCAGTCGGTGGAGTGGAAATGAATTCTATGATATATTTTTCATTCAATTGGGGTTGCAGTCTCAGTTACTGTGCACGAACATCGTGTCCTTGGTTGGGTACTGCCTTGATCGGAACGAGATGATCCTAGTGCACGAATATATGTCTAATGGGAGCCTATTCGGTCGTCTCCACAATTGTAATATTGATAATCAACGTCTCTCATGGAAGCAGAGGCTCCAAATACTCATAGGTGCAGCCCGAGGACTGAATTACCTTCATACAGGTGTGAAGCAGAAGACAATTGTCCATCGTGACGTGAGACCGTCCAACATTCTCTTGGATCAAAATTGGGTAGCAAAGATCATCCCCACAACAGTTGCGGGTTATGTCTACCCAGAGTATATGCATCATGCTGGTGGATTTGCGGAAAAATCTGATGTTTACTCTTTTGGCGTGGTGTTACTTGAAGTGTTGAGTGCGAGGGAAGCATCATCAATGGAAGTCAACGAGTGTAGCTTTCTATGCACTTGGGCCGTGGAGTGCATAGAAATAGGGACAGTTGAACAGATCATTGATCCATATCTGATCGGAAAGATATCTCCACTTTCTCTCAACGTGTTTGTGGAGATTGCTAGGATATGCTTGTTACTTAGTGCCACCAAGCGCCCTCCAATGACTCATGTTGTACGCACACTCGAGCACGCTCTGGAACTGCAGGAATCTGCTGATGCTGCATTGGAGAATCAGGTAATCAACTACTACTCTTTTTAGGTTGAAAATAAATAAATTTTTAAGTAAGGGAGTGTGTGTGTGTATATATATATATATATATATATATATAGTTTGAGAAAGCTTTTCAGTTTTCATTTCATTTCAACGACTTGTAGGCACTCAACAGCCATGTTAGATTGAGTTAATAAGTTTTAGAAGAGGAAAAGACTTGTAATTTCTCAGGTTGGGTCATCAATCAAGAAGTAAAAATCGAAAAAATGAAAATTTACTTCTTCAATTCCTGAAGAAATCTTTTTTGGAGAGTTTTGGGCTAAATTTATATTAAGAAGAGTGCACTTCCTTTGTAAGCTTCATTATTCGAAAATGCTTTTTCGGGAATGACGATAATTACTACTTCCTTCAATACCAAAGTTCATTAATAATTGAAAGTACCATTCATTTCTGTGACCAACTATAAATTTCTATTTTGTGCAGAAAAATGCGGCATGGCCATCAGTGCCCCAATTTGGGGATTGGGACCAAGAGGGAGCATTGCCCGACTACTCTCTAGTCTTCTCAAAAATAAGAGAAATAAGGAAGCAAAACAAGAGGGATGTGACAAAGCGGAAGCTGAAAAATAAATGAAAGATTATAATGAAGCAAAAATTTCAAACTCAAAAGAGTTGCAATAGTTCTTTCTCAATTATTCATTTAAAGACATGTTTATAAATATATATAGACATATCTTGTACAGGCTTCTTCAAACAAAGCCGTCCTATGAATTGCAAAAATCTTACTTTTCTTCTGCAATATAGTTCGCTTACGCCATAAGTATTCATTTTGTTCTCCTTGCCTGATCGGGCAATCGGTCGGAAAGGGAATGCTCCTGGGAGGGTTAATCCCTATCCCCTTCTGTGCGTGCTCCAAATTTAGAAACTGCAAACACTCCCTATTAGAAATTGATTGTTGAAAGCATTACATCACGAGCTGGAGGGATCTTCCTTATCTTCCAAAGTAGAAGGTTGAGGTAGAAGGTGCGTGAGTTTGTTACAAAGGTTAAAAAAATAAAAAATAATAAAAAAGTGTTAAATTGAAAAAAGAAATGGATAAAATTACGTTTAGGTATTCAGGAATATGCATATATTGATTTTAGAACCTTGTCTATGTGGAATTATAATAAGAAGGCGCAAAGAGTTAATTGAAATCCATGCTAGCAAGGATTATGTTTGAACCAAATATTATAATATAATTTGTGCCCCATACTTTATCTAATATCCTTCTACTTTTCACTTCTGTTTCAATAGACAATCTTTTATTTCAATTTAAATCTTTCTTTTCAAATCCATTAACTTGACAAATTAATGATTTGATGCAAGCCTTCTGGTGTCTTATGGTCGGTGGAAACATTGATGCATGTTTAAACAGGTTAATTTGGATTCGGAAATGATTTTATACGCGACTCTCATGGAGCAACCAACTAAATAGGATTAAAAAAAAAATAAAATCACATGAATAAATGAATATCACATGAATATATCCAAAAAAATATAATTTAGTTATCTATATATGTGACTTAGCTAGTGGTACGTATGGCATCCCATTTCAAAGAATGGAGAGTTCAGCTTGTCGGTCAATGGCTTAATATCAAACTACTTCTACGGAAAAGACAATCCAAGTGGTCCTAATTTTCAAAGCAAGTGGTCTATATATTATTTGGACTAAAGTTCCACAATGCTGCCAAAAGACTAGTATGGATGATAATCTTGTTATTTTTACAAGTCGTCCGAGTCTTCGTTCCATTGGCCCAAGCAAGGACCTACATTGTTTAATGGCTTACCAACATTATTTCTAAAGGGAGATGTACATATAAATTGGGTTGTTCAACATTGTTTGTTGACACATACTGTTAGTTCACTTCAATCAATATTGAAAAGAATAGATATTCTATAAGATTTCATCTAGAAATGATATTGGTATTCCACTTGCTCTTTTGTAAATGAAATGACATAATTAGAAGTATTCAACACTACGTTTATTCTAAAATACAAAAAGTACAGTAGTAGTGCATATATCATGTCCCAATTTCATTTCTTACAAACATTTCTTTCTAATTTTTCCAACTAATAACTAGGAAAACTTCTTTCTTATCTTTCTAAAATATATATAAAAAAATAAAAACTTCTGCCCAAACTAGACTGTCTGTCATTCACAATGAAGTTCAGAAATACACCTCCGTCGAGAAGGTGCAGAGTACCTTCTTTTTCATAGCTACACCAAAGAAGACTCTTTTGTGAACTACCTTGTTCTTTTTGGTGGAAAATCTGCCATTGACTTTTACAAATCTAGAGCAAAAATGAAGCAATTCTGAGATAAAACAAAGAAAGGAGCAAAGTGAAGAAAGAAAGAAGCAAAAGGAACAAAAGGGTGACATTCAAGATTTTCGATCGATCCAGCTTCAAGGTTCGATCAATCCAACATTGATCGATCTCAGCACTTCAAGATAGATCCAAGCCTTGACCCTATGCAGAAAGTTCAAAGTTCGATTGATCCAACTTCCATCTTCGATCGATCGAACACCTTGTCCTTATCCAAATGAATGATTTTATCCAGTTGTACCACCTTACCAACCACTTTTGTCCTATTCTCCAAAATATCTCTAAAAATATCTTGGACTTGTCTTTTCCCAAAAAGCTCAACCAGTTGGATCGATCCAGTGTTAGTTTGATAGATCTCAGCCAAGTTCGATCGATCCAAATCCAAGGTTCGATCGATCGAACTTCCTCCAATGCGAAAAAGTTAAAAAGCCAGCTCATTCATTTCGTCCTCTATCCAATCATTGGGGAATATGCTTTGCACGACCCTAGCTTATTTTGTGTGTCATTTAACCTACCTATATATAGAATATGATACACTTTTTGAGAGGGGAGAGCATTTTGGTAGATACAATTTTAGAGGCTATTCTTAGGGAGGAAGAAAAGAAAGAAGAGGCTAGAGACACCATTGGAGGCTTTTCATCTTCCAAGGAGCAGATTTCATCCATGGAGCTTACCCTTGAGGGTTGGAGGAACATCACTATGAGTGGCTAGACATCCTCTTGGGGCTAGAGTTAGCTCCAAGCATGCTTTCTTTACCTTAATCTTGTGTATTATTGAGGGATTAATGTTGTAATTAATGTTTTGATTCTTTGTTATATATAGATCTTGTTTATTCAATGATTTATATGTTTTAATGCTTCCAATTGATTATTTCATTCTATCCATATGTCTATGTATGCTAGAATAGATGTTCATGTGCTTGTCTTTAGATTCTTGTGGTTGTTGATGCATGTCTATGTGTATTGATGCTAGGAATCTAGAGATTGTCAAAACACAGTGCTTAATGAATGCTCTTGTGATTTACTAGATGCTCCATACTTATTTTTTGATGGATTGTGCCTCTCCCTTAGTTTATTTTCATGCTAGTAGTGTAAATGTAGTGTAGTTGTAGTTTAGTGTTAATTGGGAGGACAATTCATGCTTGTTGTTTGATGTTCCATGCTTTTGAATGCAAGTAGCATATGTCTCTAACCTTGTGGTGTATTTAGATTGTGAGCCTAATAAAAGGATTAATGACTTGTTTTGATCTATTGTGCCTTTCACATGTTGTTTAGACAATATATGCTTCATTGCTTGATATATTGTGCCTTTCACATGATGTTTAGACAATACATGCTTAATCGGTCATCCTTGCTAATTGAACTAACCAAATGTGATACCCCTCGGATCCGAGACACGGGTTGATCAGGCCCAGGCCCAAACTCGAGGGATATCAAACAATTAATATATAATCGAACACAGAATACAAGATAAAATAAGAAATAAAAAATAATAAGCTGGAAGAGTGCTAACTGAAAATCCTTAAGATATAAATATTAACAACTCGGGAATCCATCCAGTGGACCCCTTATTAAAATCCCAAAAGAAACTAAAACATCTGAAATAGAAACTAAAGGTAAACGTAGCAAAGATTCATACGTAATCGGAGGAATGAGTGTTTGTATCTGCTCTGCACGTCCAAGCTCTAACCCTGGAACTGACGAACACCTGAAAAATAAAAGAGTGGGTCAGGCCCACATGCAAGTCCTGTTCTACTACGATCCAAACAGTAATCCGATACGCAGATACATCTTAGGAAGACTCAACAATATCTAAAGTAGTCTATATGTATATGTATAGTACACACTATAGGACGCTCACTAGTCCAGTAGGTCTGTCTCAGCCTGAGTAGAGATACCATGCAAATCGCACAATAATGTGGTCATGTGTACCTAGACCTACCAGGGAACAACACCTATGTCCAGTTATCCATCCTAGGCAATATATGCGCCCTAATCATGGTCCTGAGATTCAAAATCATACTATGACATCATATAATATGTATATAAAATCCTTATACTCCTGATACAAAATATCAACCATCTGTATTGTGGTTTGATATATGTATAATCAGTCCATCCTAAAATCACCACAGATCATTCAATCGTTTTGTTAATATGACACAAATATGAGATGGACTTAACCTTTTTGGTTAATCCATCATTAAATCCAGATTAGGTAGAACACAGTGTTTGAACTAGTTCATACCTAGTATGCCACCGTCCCATACCGGTGCATACAATCCTTCGTCCAACATAGTTAACAAAATAGCATAACATACACTTATTAACTATACTCCAGAACTAACATACAAACCAATCTAATATGTGAATGATCAATTTATGTAACCAGTATATGATCTAGCAGTCAAATTCCAGTCCTTTAAAATTGTTAGAGTAAAACATAGCATTTAACTCCTCTAATCTGTTCATATATCTATGCACAAATTTAAGCATAAATACTTCAGACAATCAGATATGCTCACTGTAGTGCTACACAGGATTATCAATAATAAACCATGTAAATAGGAATTTCTACTAATTCCAGTAAGCAACTTAAGCTCATTGACCAACCTTCCACATGCAAACTTAATGTTTAATCTTATGTTGTTCTCTTGCTTTAACAGATTATTATTAACATGCTTCCCAAGTAGTTTAAATGTCTATAATAGAGGTCCACAACATTCATAGTAGTTTAAAATTCATTTAAAACAAAACCCTTCTGCTCAAACCAACCCAGACGCACGAAAAACAACAAAAAGAAGAGGGAGCCGCCTCCACCATGGGTGGAGCCGCCTCTCCTCTTGGTGGAGCCGGCTCTACCCTTGTGGAGCCGGTTCCACCCCCTTGTGGAGCCGGCTTTCCCATCCCTAGAGCCGGCTCCACCCTTTGGTGAGTCGGCTCTCTTCCGTTGAGAGCCGTATCCTCCTTCTGGTTCATTGTAATACCCCTGATTTTAAAAGGATAGTCTCGGTATTTTTTAAAAAAATTATTTTAATTACATTTAATTATTTAGTTGATTTCTTGGCTAATTGTTTACTTGTTTAATTGATTTAATTATTTGTTAAATGTGTTAATTGATTTAATTGTTTAAATGAAATTGTGTGTGATGATGTGTATTTATTTAGGAATTTAATTGTTTTATTTTATTTTTATTTTAATATTTTTAGGGAATTGGATATGGATAGTAGTAATGGACCAACTAATTGGGCTCCATGGACTACTTGGATAAGGGGTTTAATGGGTACGGATAATTACCCATGTATATGTATATTTAATAAATATATATATATATATATAAGGAAAGTCATATATATTTATATATTACATATAAAAAGGATTACACATAGATTATACGTACCATATATTTTAGTTACCTTTTTAGTATTTAGATTTTATTTTATTTTTATTATTAGTT